TTCCCAGCATTTACCCATCTCTCATTTTCAATTACTATCCAGGAATCTAATGTAGTGGTCCTCTAATTGTGTTACTGGTAAATGGGAATTTAAAAAACAGAATAACTGCTGATCATAACTGATATTTAGTTCTAGTTTATAAAAATGTCCCATTGCTGTGACTGGGACTACTCTGCTTGTATTACCTCTTTATGCAAGATGCAAAATATCTTTTATCAAGCTCAGACCTCAACAGATTATTGTGCAATTGTTTGCAACAGGCAGCTGGTATAGTTCCTTGCAAAAGTATTCATATTTATAACCCTTGAAGTTTATCCACATTCTCTCATATAACAAGCACAAACTTCAATGTAGTGTATGTATGTTTTTACAAATCAATATCTGAAAAGCATGCCATGCATTTGTATTTTGGTTAACCACTTTTATATAAAAAAGGACAAATCGATGGAGGGCACAACTAGTAGTTGTGGTGTTTCTGATTCTACCACCTGAGTTCTGCAGCTCCTCCAGAGTTTCCATGGGTTTGGCTGTTTCTTATAGATCAGAGATGTTCAACTCCAGTGCTCGAGGGCCGGTGTCCTCAAACTTTTAGATGTGTCCCTGGTCCAACACACCTGAATCTATGGCCGAATTACCTCCTCAGTGTGCAGTCAAGTTCTCCAGAATCCTGCTAATGACCTAATTATTAGATTCATGTGTGTTGAAGCAGAGGCACATCTAAAGGTAGCATGACACTGGCCCTCGAGGACTGGAGTTTGACACCTGTGCTATAGATGATCTTCATTTCCCAGCCTGTCTTTATAGGTGGGCGGCCATGTCTTAATAGCTCTCTCAATTTTCTTAGGCTGGATTGAACAGTGGCCATTGTTGAGCTAGGGATACCGTCTTATGTGTTCATTCAGAGAATAGCTGTTTTTGTACTGAGACTGGATTACCCACAGCTGGACTTTATTTACAGATAATGTGACTTCTTAAGACAATTGGTTAAATAGGATTTGACTTGGGGCACAGAGTAAGGTCTGCAGAGAGAATCATCAGGGCTGACCTTCCCTCCATCCAAGACTTATACAGGTCTAGGGTCAGAAAAAGAGCTGCTAAAATCTCTGCAGACCCCACACACCCTGCACATAAACTGTTTAGAGTTCTGCCTTCAGGCCGACGCTACAGAGCGCTGTTCACAAAAACCAGCCGCCACAGAGACAGTTTCTTCCCCCAGGCTGTTTCTCTGTTGAACATTCAATAAAATACAAAACAACAGCAGACAGATGTTGCAAATGCACCTTTTTATTTATATATGTGTATATTGTACATTGTAAATATGTATATTCTATAGTGCAAAAACCGAAGAGCAAAGTGTACCGGAGTCAAATTCCTTGTTTGTATGTACGAACTTGGCAATAAAGCTGATTCTGATTCTGATTCTGATTCTGAGTAAAAGTGGCTGAATACAATGCATGCCAAACTCTTGATATGTGAAAAAGTGACTAAATTAGGTATCTTTATCCTCACACTTCAAATTATCTTGTTTTTTTCTGGGTGTTATAACATCATACACAGTAGAAGAATTTATTTTGCTCTGCTGGAAATTAAAAGTACATATAAAGGTGACTAAAAAAAAATAAAAATGTCGAATATTAAATCGTAAAGAATCAACTGATTCCCTATCCATACCCAGACGGGAGTCTAATAAAGGGCATACCACTGATGGTGGTTCTGTCATGCTAGGCTTGATGTCTCCTCTCCAAACCTTTCCACAACCTCCCACCAACCCAGATCCTACACTCACACTGTGTCTGACCTTATAAATGTTCTGTCCATCTCCTTTGATCCCTACTTTTTGTTCCGTTTCTCTCCCTTTTTGTTTATTTTTTTACTGTAAGGGAATTTTTGGCTCTATTCTTTTAACATTTTTCAAAAAACTGTTTCTGAAATATTTAATAAATGATTTAGTTTGTTTTTATGCAGATGTAGCACCAATATTAAAATGGTATATCAAGGAGTTTGGTTGAAATTCTTTTCAAATCAATCTAGTCGACTTGAATATATTCTAATATTGTTTCATGTTTCAATTGTATTTGGGGTTAGGCAGCATAAGTTTGTTCTTAAAATTAGGCACTCCTTTTTGTCAAATCACCCAATGTACTTGAGTGCATGTGCTTCAAACGTATAAATGACCAGGATATAATAGGAACTAAACTAATTTGCATCCAGTTTGCATCTAGTCATACCGACAACTCAAAGCGCTTTACATTATAGACAACTTTACACCATCACACTAACACATTCCTACACCGATAGGCAGCTTGGGGGTAAGTTTCTTGCCCATGGGTACATCAACATGTTACAGGAGAAACTGAACCCACAACTTCCAGATTGCAAGGCGACTGCTCTTCCCATTGAGCCACAGTTGCCCAAGCAAGCCTGTGGCTCTGAATCATCTGTCATGACTGGTTAGGGCTTGAGAGGACAGTAAGGAGACCCAAAAACACAGTAGTACTGAGCCAGTTCTGTCCAAAATAATCTTTGCTAATACTCTAGTACATACTCTGTAATATAATTATATACTGTAAAGGTTATGCAAAAATTGATTCTCCTGAGTCAAAGTGGCCTACTCAATAGATCAAGACTAAACTTCTAATGATAAGGCAAACTAACAGCCTGGCCTGGGCCCGGGACAATATAATTTTAAATGGCCCCTCACTGTCACCATTCTGTAACTAGTCAAAAATTTATATTTACTATTTAAAGACATGATTGAAACAGAATTTTGCCTATTTCTTTCTCCTTCCATCTTCCTTCCCTCTTCCCCTCCTATCTGCTCCGTACTTTGGTTTTTTAGTTTCCTTACTTAGCATAGGCTCTACATGACATTCCTGATGTAGAAGACTAACAATGATGCAAATTTCCCAAATTAATACATTTTTAAATTCGTTGTTTTATGCCATCATTTAAATGAAATTGCAAATCTATGTTGTGATTATGAATACGAATGTATTATTTAATAATACTTTAATATTTTATTAAATAATATTTCGGTCTGTTAAGGGTTGTCCTGTGAATACCAGCCCAATAAAGCGGTGGTATTAGTACAAAATTGAAAGGCATGAGCCAAGCTCTGGCATTATTGTACAGCAAAACTGTACACATACAGAATGAATTCACACAATTTCTTAAAATACAACAATTTATTAACAAAAATAAGTCAACTCAAAGCCTAACATATTTCAATCAAGAAAACTCTTTGCTATGCTAACACAACCCAACTAAACTACCAAGCAAAATGAAAGAATAAGGAAGACCAATGGGCTATGTACAACACAAACAAGGGAATCAAAGATGGTTGAAAACCATGACCAAAAAAGTGATGCAACATTACCAAGCAAAGTGTATGTTTGAGAACCAAGGATTATCTTGAAGAATCTGGAAATGAAGTTAAGTTAGTCTTGGAACTAACTTAGGCAATCATTGGTATACCTTTAAACAACCATTCACGATGCAAGATCAGATTAAACATTTTAATAAAACAACATTTTAAAGAATTAATTACTAAATAAAACCAACCATCTGGATGACTAATTCTCAACGGTGTTTAATTAGCTCCCTTTAAATATTAAAGGAAATGTTAAAAACATTTGAGAAAATATTATTTTGAATGAGGACCAACAGCCACTCTGGGTAAATGATCTTTAGTGGAGTTTAGTGATGTTATCACGTTTATTAAAATAATATTTAGGGAAATAATATTTTCTAGATTGGAAACTAACATTTCTGGGTAAATGATCTTCAGCTGACTCAAAGTGGACGATCACGTGTTCTTATCCGATTGTGGTTGGAGCTAACAAAAGAAGCTTATAGCTTGTCATCAGAATCAAACACATACCTTTAAAATACCACTACTAAAAGGGTTGAAATGCATAAGCGTGGCCGATCTTCTATGTTTAAAAACCACCCTTTAAATAAAGTTTGTCTTAGCTATGGATGTTTTCTGTTGTTTTTAAAGTTGAGTTCTAGTCTGCTGGCACTTACTGTAGCTAAGTTTCTCAACTCAAACAAAAACAAACTTCATTAAACGAACATTATTCAGATTATTTACCTCTAAACTAATCTTCTCTGCCCAAAAACGCTACCTGTTACGTGAACCGTACTGAGGAGAAGTTGTCCTGGGCGTTGAGGAAACATCCACGTGTGGGTAAACAAAGGGTTAGCTTGCAGCTAACCTCCATATGTGTGGGTAGGGCTTTTAGGTGGCCCGGCCGAACCATACGACAAAGGCACATTCGGCTCCTTGAGTGGCCGCGATGCGACGGGGTAGCTTTTCCAGCCCGTGGGCGAAATCCACCTCGATTAGGGCAGCTTCTGGAGGCCTCAGAAGAAAAGTCTGGCTCGTCCCATTACACCCTTTATATGAATGAATGCCGGACACTCGAACAGTAAATCATTACTTAACATTGTTGCATATGATCGCGTGATTGTATGACACTCTTGGATCCAGTTTGAAGAGTCATGTCTGGTTGCCAGCAAAGAGACATGCTTTTTTGGTGACTCTCCTGTAACTCTCCTGTCCAGTTCCTGTCTGGACTTCGCATGGAAAGAGATCCGTTTGTTGGAATGTGGGTTTTTATTCAAGTAATGAAGTCACGGAAGTCCGCTCACCTTCTGTTCCTGGCTGTGCTGGAAGTAGGTTACTGTGATTTATTTTGAAAATTCCAGAAAAGATCAAACTGGCTTTTAAATATAGACCCAACCTCTATATATCAATTTTTTTTTCCAATATACTACAAAGGTCTGCATTTATTACTCAAATAGTAAAGTCAGGAAATCAAAAAAAAACGTGAATCAAACATATGGTAAAAATCATAGATAATAGTTTATTTTGTAAATTACTTTTTTGCTTCCTGTGCTAACGTACATAATGAAGTAACTTAAACTGCAGCTGCGTCTCTAAGTAAACAAAGATCTGCAAAATTTGAGAAAAGTACTATTTTAATTATTCTGGGGCTGCACGGTGGCGCAGTTGGTAGCACTGTTGACTTGCAGCAAAAAGGTCCTGGGTTCGATTCCCGGCCGGGGGGGTCTTTCTGCATGGAGTTTGCATGTTCTCCCCGTGCATGCGTGGGTTCTCACCGGGTACTCCGGCTTCCTCCCACAGTCCAAAGACATGCCTGTTAGCTTAATTGGTCACTCCAAATTGCCCTTAGGTGCATGAATGAGTGTGTGCATGGTTGTTTGTGTGTTGCCGTGCGAAGACTGCTAGAGATAGGCACCAGCTCCCCCGGGACCCACTATGGAATAAGCGGTAGAAAATGACTGACATTTTGGGTCTTTTTATCTTCTGGGTTTCCATAAAAGCTGGGTAATCTAAATCGTACCTGTTGAGGCTCTACAGCAATATCTACATTTCATTCACATCAGCTCATCTCCAGCCCATATCCTCTGTGCAGCAGAGGACGAACGTACTAGTAGGACGAACCTACTAGTAACATAAACCTAAAGCAAGTTACGATGCAGCGCACCCACTAACTTTTACCAGCTTCCAAACGTTACTTATTAGACCTGTTCCAATTTTAACTACCATTAGAAAAGGTCCACAACACAATAGAAACTGTTACGTTTGTTAGCACCATCAGAGCATAGGACACAGATGAGATATTCACCTGCAGTCTCTGGATTGGAGAGCAAACCGAATGTAGGCTATATATGCAGTTAGAGGCGTTTTCCTCAGGTGACATACATGGTACCATTTCACCCTACCTCTGCAAAGACAATCACGAAGAAAACAAAATAGACAAAGGTTTTAACTAAATTAAATATTGTAGTTTTTAAATATGGTTTGATGCCATTCAGCTGTACATGTGTGGCAAACTAACTTGTTTTAAAGATACTATAATACTGAAATCCCCACTTATTTCTTAGTCACTGCAGGTGGTTTCATATGAGTCACTTAAGACACTTTCCTTAAACTATTTTCATAAGGTTAGCACAGCACATAGTAGAGCTACTCACATCCACTCAGTTGTTACTTCTTGTAATAGTGCTCTACTATTTGGTCTACCTCATAAATCCATCAGTAAATCTCAAATGGTACAGGTCTCTGCTGCCTATCCATCCAGATATTTTGCATTTGAAATAGAGGTCAAGCTAACCTCTTCTGATTTAATCAGCTGTATGTTTGCATAGTGAGAATATTCAGGTAAAATGGAGTCTATGGGTTTCCTTTGATGTCCCTCCATGACGAGATAATGACGGACTGTTCGGAGAAACCCAGACAGTTTTCTTTCTGTTCAAGACGAGAGACTAAGAAAGAGCTTTATAGCATCAGGTCCACCATATGGCCATCTGATCTTTCAGCTGCATGGACCAATCTGCTGACCCTGTGGGAGCATGGCTGTGTGCACCTCAGGCGTCATTTCAAAGACTTCAAATATCAGTGAGCCAGTGGGGTAACTTTTTACAGATGCTGCCACCATTCTGCAGTTACTCATTGTCAATTATCCCCTATGTTTATAAGGCTATTATAATTTAGCAAAATATTAGATTAGAAGCACAGTACCCTAAAATGAATATTTAATTCACAATTTAATTAGTGAGCAGTGTTACAGATTTTATGTAGGATCTGCAGGTGACTTGCTGAGCAGAGGTGGACACATATGAAAGTTTCATTGATTTTCTTATGCCACACTCAGCAAGAAAGTAGAGTAGAATATTTAGGAAATGTCAAACTGCTCCCCTAAGAAATGACACCGAGCTGAATCAGGAACACGAATCCCCCCTTGTACTCGTCTTATTACTGAAAATACCACAGCAGCAACAATCTGGACACGGTCATACTTGATCTTCCATAATTCTCCCTTATTGCAGCCTAGCCACTTCCCACACTGGCATACCAACCATTGATAATACCTAATTGAATCTTTCCAGCCAATGGCCCTCTGTCACATTATGTGTCCAGATGTTCATTACTGAAAAAAAATCTGATTATGACCTTTTTCATTAAAAAGGAGAAGAGGGAGAATACAATTTCTGAGGCACAAGTTGTATTGTGTCAAAAATCTGATATCCAATTAATTTAGGCAGTTTTCAGATAAGCGCTTTATGGTAAGAAGATGAGAATCCTGAATGATGAGAATCCTGGAGAGAAGACATCCGGTCATATAATGAAATCTTTTATAGAAATTTTGAAAATATAAAAGTGAAAGGCAATGTATTGCTGTTTTTATGGATTTTTCTAAGAACATTGTCCATACAGGCAACAACCTGAACCTAAACATATCTATTATAGCCACTAACTATTTAGCTTCTACTGCCTTCTAACAGTTCATTACAGAATAATAACATAGGAAATGGGAACTTCTGTGGTTACCACAACTTATTCAACCTAAGCAATCCACCTGAAACATCGAAGTAACAGTAATGTTGTCAGCCCTAGCACTGTTATAGCAGAGGACAATAAAAAAGCTAAAATCTAATATACATTTGATCCTCTTTGTGTAAAAGCTAGCTTAAGCACAGCTACTTGCTACAGGAAGCAAAACCTTGAAAACAAGAAAGCAATTCAATTGAACTGGTCTTACAGCATAAGGAATGTTATAAGATCACAGAAAACACACCTTGATCAAAAGAAATTAAAGACCGTTAAAAACTTCTGACATTTATGTGGAAAGAGTTACAAAGTCATTTCTAAGGCTTTAGGACTTAATAAGAGAGTGGGGACCATTATACACAAATGGAGAAAACATTGAGCAGTAGTGAACCTTCCCATGGAGTGACCATCCTACCAAATCTTTTTCAAGAACACACCAACAACTCATCCAGCACATCATAAAAAGTAAACACCTTCAGCAGTGCAGGCCTCACCTGCCTCATTTCAAGTCAGTGCTCATGATTCAAAAACAAGAACAAGAATGGACAAAAATGGCATCGATGTGTAAGTTACAAGGTCAAAACCACTGCTAACAAAAACAAAAACCCACAGAGACCACACTCTCAAACATTTTGATGATCGCCAACATTTGAGAAAAATATTCCGTTGAAAAGTAGAACTTTTTGGACGCCCGTTGTGACACGTGGCATAAAATTAAGGTGGTGGTAGTGTTATGGTCTGGGGCTGTTTTGCTGCTTCAAAAGCTAGTTGGCATGTTGTAATAGAACAAGTCATGAAGTTTGCTCGCCTCCAAAATCCTGAAGGAGATTGGCTGGCTATAACAACATCTTCACGTTTACGCCTAAATTGCTCAAAAAAATTAATGCAGGATTTGAAGTAGCCTAGTCAAGCTGTCAACTTAAATCTGATTGGCTGTGACATAACCTGACGAGAAGGGTGGCACAACCAATTATTAGGTTTAGGGAGAAATTACTTTCTCACATTGGGGCAGGTTGTCTTTGATAGCTTTTGTTCCCTAATAAATGAAATCATTTTTTTTAAATCTGCATTTTTAATTTTTTTTTATATATAAATATTTTATTTCATGCACCGAACAGCAGTAGCTAAATCAGTTTCATTGAACACCGATGCATAAACAAAAGTAACAATCTAGTTAAATTCTATTTATATAAGCAATTATTACAAGCATAATATTTTTCCAGCAGTGAGTCACATGTAACGGTATTTCTCACTATGGGCTGAGAAGAGATGATATATTTATATAAATTTTATGTTTAAATATATTGATTTTAGCATTAGTTAAAAATCAGCCCATAGTCCTTATAGGTTATTCCCCACACATGGAGTTATCTAAAGAGCTTCAGTTACTCGAACATCATGTCAAAATGTGACTGACTTGACTTCATCTAGCTACATGAAATATGTGTTTTAGTCAGAAAACAAGGAATGTGTGGTCTTCATATTTTTTAGACAATTGCTTTCAGGTATACCATTCTGGATCAGGGGTTAATTCGGTGGAGATATCAAGTTGAATTACTTCATAAGATTCTAAGGTGTTGTAAGGAAGTAAACATGAGGCTCCATTCTCTAAATTAGGATTATAAGGAAAAAGTGAATGTTTCAAAACAATCTTATCCTAAAAGGCTTTTGCAAGTATATGCAGCTTTTCTGAAATGCCTTGCTACAAAGAAAATATTGCACAAAAGAAAGCTGAAGTCAGTATGTGAACAGTTTTGCAAGGAAGACAAGATAGTTTAAATACAACTTGTTTACCCAGGCATGTGAGAAATACCCTGCAGGCAAACTGCTGTTCACTTCTTCAGCTATGATTTAAAAAGGTGCAGGAAAAATAGTAAGGCCAAGCATGCATGTAAAATGAACCAATTACAGTACATTTCTTAACAAGACGTTAATGCAAATTGAACAAGCTACTCCCAATTTTCTCCTTGTTTATAAGGCTCAAATCAACATCAAACCACTTAGGTAAAGCTCTTGACTGAAGATCTGGTAGATCCATGGGAATATTTTGGGGCACAGCACTGTCAGACATTTATGAGAGAAGATGTACCTGTGCAGAGCCCTAGGGAATACTAAATGACTTAAGTACAACATTTTCACGTTGGAAGCCATAGAAAGTAATCTGTGTGGGTGATGTTTCACCATTTAGGTTCTCAGGTTTGAAAATTATGAGTGTCACCTAAAATGCACCAGGAAAACAAGTTTGCCTTTCTCATTTGGGTTAGGTCAGTTTATTACTGTTTTCTGGTAATGAGGATTCTTATAAATTATAGACTATTGTGCTGTTTAAGCGTGTGTCAATCATTATGGGGTTAGAGAGAATTATTGTTGTACTTACGTGAATTAAATAAATACAAAGTTTTAATTAGAAATTCATCAGTTTCTATAAAGGGATTTCTCAATCATTTACTTGTACAGTGCTCTTGATTAGCATATATCATCTGCTGAAGAGAATATGTACCACATATGTTTTGAGTCTGAAGATGCACAATAATGAAAAAAATGAGAGCAATGGTTTTAGGTCATATCAAAAGGATACTTGAAAGCGATTACATCGCTGTTAATATTGAGATAATTAGGAAAAGAAATTTTATATAATGAACTTTTAAGATACCGACTGTTTCATAACCTGAACAGCATGTAAGCATAATACTTTTTACCTGAATAACACTAAGGG